CCACCTGATCGGTGAGATAGCAAAGGGGGCCAGGTGGAACTCCCTTCAGGTCTGTGCTGAAGAGTTTTGGGAGGGCTGCCTAGACGAAATGGCCCTGAAGCTACCCATCTCTTCCCTCCTGAACTCGGCCTGGGGAGGGTGTCATGTGCTGATGGATGCCTTGGTACCAGGTGTAATCACTGATTACAGGCCCTTCCTTCTCCCTAATCACCCACACCCAGCCTCTGTTTTAGGAACCTTGGTCTTGGCCCAGAGCATTTGCCAGCCATCTGCCCCATCTGGATGGGTGTGTGAGTCCCCTGATGTCTGTCATAGCCCCAGGGTGTTTTCTGCTGGTTAGGTTTAGAGGTTGGGTTGTAAAACCCCACACACTGGGCTGGGTCTTGGTGGGGTTATGCCAGTTCTTTATTGTGCAAAATTTTCTACCAGCTGTGGAGCATGGCAGTTAAGCACGAGGTCTGGATCAGACTTTGGGTTTCCCTCTGCACCTGTGGGCAAGTTTCTTTCCCACCCCAGGTCTCCTAGGGCTACTGCAGGGATAAGCAGAGCTGCTGGATTGCTCAGCCACCTCCAAGAGTGCAGCCCGCCTTCACCCAGAACTGCAGGTGTGCTCCCAGGAGCCCAGCTGCTCCTCAGAGTGAGCATTTGGGGAGGTGGGACCCATGCCTTTGTGATTGCATGGTGTATAGTTGCTTATCTCGTGACCTCCAGATGGGGTGCTCCTCGGGGCAGAGGGGGGTTACAACCATCTGTGCCTTGTGTCTAGCTTGGGGCCAGCCCATGGTGGGGTCTCAGTGGACTACAATGGCTCAGGATGAAAGCCCTTGGCAGGGAGTGATCACTTGGGGTCCCTTTTGAGGATGTCTCTGAAGCCTCTGGCCTCCTGCGCCTTTCACCCTGGCAAGGGATGCTGTTCTCTTTGAAATTACCTCTGAGCCTTAAGCTGGGACTTCAGCTACCCCGTGTGTCAGCTGTTCCCAGCCAACTGGGGCAAGTCAGGGAGTGTGAAGCACTGACCCTGAAGGTACTCCAGATGCCTCCCCGACTACTCAGGCTCAGGGCCAGCTTGTCCCTTACCCTTTTGGGCATGGCTCCTTCATGTGATAAAGTGAGCAGGACCTTAGGCTACAGAGTAAGAGGGTCTTGAGGAAACAACCTGAGCTAGACTGTCACCTGTGTGACCAGGGCAAGTACCCCTCCTCAGCCCCAGCAGTCCTGCTTAGGTTTGGGGGTTGGATGAGGTAAGTGGGGGCAGCTAATCCTTGAACGGCAGTATCTTTGGAAATGCCCCCTTTTTTCCTCAGCCTGCCTCTGCCTAAATTCGAGAACCCCCAGCCCTGTACTACACCTTAAGGGACATCTTTGTGCATACCCCCTACTGCATCTGGACAGGAAGCTCAAGAGCTCTGAGAGTTTCCTAGGCCTCTGCCATGCTCAAATCCTGGATTTCAGCAAGCTGAGCCCAACTTCCTTGAAAAGACTTGACAGCCCATTTTACAGATGGTGCTAAGGCCCAGAGTAGGCAAGCTGCTTGTCAAAGATCACATAGCTCTGAGTAATGAGATGGTAATTTAGGTCTCTCTCAGTTCAAAATCTTCACTATGACCTGTTTACTAGGGAGAGGTCCTCAAAAGTTCACTGTTTCTTGAGAGGCCCCCTGGGAATCTGAGTCCTCTGAACAGCCTCTCTTGTAGTCCCCAAATATTCCTCCAACTTACAGCTTTGCCTCTGGTTTTCCACACAAGCCACAGTTAGGTTGAGATGCTCATTTCTTCTGCCTCCAGAGCCAGAGCCCTGGGCCTGTCACTTCAGACCAAGTCCAGTCCTGTCTACCACCCCAATGAACTGAACAAATACATATACATCTCCCTACATGTAGGGATATAAAGCAGGGTTGGAGCACTGGCCTCTCTAACCAGTAGCCCCTGACCCTAGCACACACCCTAAAAATGCACTTCCCCAGAAGTGCCGTCTCTGGGCTTTGGTCTCCTCATTTGGGAAATGGAGACTGAACCAGGGATACCATAGGCTTTTCTAGCACAGGGAGTCTGAGCATGGGAGACTTGGACTCCAGCAGTGGAAGGGAACAGGGGCTGCAAGGACAGGAAGAGGTCAGAGGCTATGGCTCAGCTTCAGATGAATCTTTGGCCACATGGGATCCAGGTGGGGAGGCTGACTCTATGGTCTGTACTTAATCCAATCCAGTACTTCTGGTCATGGTGGCTTCTGCTTCGTGCAAAGGTACCCCCAGTTAAATTATTTGTATTTCAGAGCAAAATGTAAAGAAGGACCACTTCTATAGGCCTCAGCAGCCAAATTGAAGGGACCCAGGCCAGGACTGATGGAGATGGTTTTTGCTTTCCTGAGAGGGAGGGAAGAAGGGAGCTGGGTCAGGATAGGAGAGGTCAGGCAGCAGACAGAAGTGTGGAAAGGCGGAAGGGTGGGGCCTCCACCATCCAAGCTTAACCACTGGGGTGGCCTTAAGGAGGCCATTGCACCTCTGAGCCTCAGTTTCTCCATCCATCAAATGCTAATACTGCTTTATCTAGAGGATTGTTGGGGAAATTAAATAAGAAATTGTGCTGGATGGCAGACCAAAGGTTAAAGGTGGTCACAGCTCAGCCACAGCGCTTAGATGCAAGAGAGTGGGAGCTTGTAGCCCTTGCTTACAGAGTCATGTGACAGGACTTTGGGTCCTCATCCATGGGTGACAGGCCTTCTAGGGCTCTGAAATCCTGTGAGTAGACATGTGGGGTGCTACAGGAATCCAGCCACTTGTTTTTCAACAACATCCCCAGTGTATCAGTTACTCCAGCATCTCAAGGAGACAGGGTCCCCCAAGCACCACTGTGCTGGAGGGGAGGCCCATTGGGGCTCAGAGTGGCTTAGTAACTCTCCTGCCTGAGGTCACACAGCAGCTGAGAAGTGGAGCAGGATTCCCAGGGAACCTGAGCTCCCAGGCCACTTGATGTCCTCACACTTCTCCCATTGCTGGAGCAACAGCATTTTGTTTCCTTCTGGGTTTAACAACAACAGAAAGTAAAACCACAGATTAAAAATAAGATAGTAGAGAGGTCAAAAAGCCAGCATTCCCCAGAATTAGCTGCCACAGGTGACTACAAACACAGCCACCATGACCGACTTCCTTCCACAAGTGAATAACGCAAAGTCCAGAGGCAGGAACCGTGTACCAACCACCAGCCTGCAGGGCGGGGCAGACCCTGGGTGGTCTCCAGAGCTCTGCAGCCAGGCTGTCTTTACCCTCCACATTCTGCTGTGTGTGCAGGCAGCTCTCACAGGGGATAGCTGCCAGACTTCACAGCCTGAAGGTGCCTTGAGCCTCAGGCATATGGCCTGGCCTCAGCTGGGGGCAAAGACCTGGATGTGGGGACAACAGAGGTCCTTCCCCTCAGTTGATCCAGCCTCTCCCTGTCCCTTTGCCTCAGAGAGGGCAGGGTCACCTGGATAGAAGGCTACAGACTGGGCACACATAGGAGGCTATGGTGGCAGTCACCATCATCATTGAATTTGACACTGAGTGCCACACACTTCACAGGTGTGAGCTCCTGTAGGCCTCATTTCACAGGTGGGAACGTTAACAGAGAGAAGGCAGCCATCTCAGGCCACACAGCTGGTCAGAGGTGGCCCATGTGGCCTCTTTAGGAGCACTACTGTATGCTGCCTGCACACCTGTGAAATGGGCAGAGTCACTGTCCTTATTCACCAATGAGGAAGCGGCCCCAGTCTCCTAAGGTCCTGTGGCAGATACATGGCACAGTCAGGGTGGGAACTGAGGGCTAACCTGTGCTCCATCCTGAAGCCAGGTGAGCAGAAATGGGAAGTTCATAGACAGAAGTGCTCCAGAAAATCCTGTAGAGCCCCCCACTTCCTGATCTGCCTAGTCCACTGTGTGCCCTGTCCCTTATTCTGTGTGGCCTCTCTGAAAACAGTCATCTCAGAAGTGTCTTGCATAGGAACAGTATTCTGAGGTAAATGACCTGAGAGGAATGAGCTTCAGGAAGGACAGGGAGGAACAGAGATGTGGGAGCATCAGGTGACGCTGGTTCCCTGCCACCTGCTCCTTCCCAGGTACTGCAGGACCAGGAAGTTCATGGGGAACAGAGTTCCTGGGCTAGGCCCTCCAGTGCATACCAATGTATTCCAGTTCTGGACTGGACGTTGCTGTAGGCTGGCTGGGCTGTACACTGCAATTGAGCCCCACTGTACACATCAGATATTCAAGGGGGCGTGAGCTGAGATCTGCAGTGGGAATTTCTGAAAAGAAGGATTCTGGCAGAGAAACTGCATCTGGAAAGGCCCTGGGGTAGGTAAGGCCTGAGAGTACTAGGGCGATAAGAGGGAGGCCAGATGCACTGGTGCAAAGGCATCAGGGTGATGTGAGTATGGAGGGCAGAGGAAGGGCAAGGGAAACTGGGGCTGGGTCCAGTGGGCCACATACAGAGCCTGGATTTTATAGCCAGTAAGTGGTCAAGCAACATTGCTGCTGAAGAGTTATAGGCCAAGGGGAAGGACAAGATACAGATAGCATTTCTCAGAGGTCTTCCTGTGGTGGGGATAAGGGATTGATGGAACTGGCCACCAGCTGCATGCTGAGCTGGCCTAGGCAGGAGGGCTGGGAGAAGTGGAGGCCTGGGAGAAGCACCCTTGGTCTGCAGGAGGAGACCCATGAGACTCTTAGGTGTTCTGATTGAGCTCTTGGTGGGTAGAGGGGGCCATTTCCTCCCCTACTCCAAGTCCTACAGCACTTAGAGTGGGGAGTACAGCCCCAAAGGGACCTCAAAGCTGGGATTCTATTGGGCACTTCCTAAGAGGTGGGGCACACAGCATTCAGAGCCATTAACCGAAAGGGTTTCATGGAAGTTGGAAATGATTCATTGCTGTTTACTGCCGGACATCTAATGGTTAGTGCAAGGTGACTCTCAGGAAGGAGACTCACTGGTCTCAGGCCAGGTGACAACAGAGCTGTTTGTTCTTCACAGCGTGTCCCTCATCCAGAACTCATCTGAGAAGCTGCTGTTTTCAGAAAGCGCTGCTCTGATCCAAGCCAGTCACTGTACAGGTGAGCAGAGAGGTGGGGGAGGGCAGCCATCTGTATCAGTCATGCCCAGTTTGTCCTGTGGAATCCTGGAACCCATGTCTCCCAACACTGACTAGATGCTGCTGTGGTCTCCCTGAGGTTACTCAGGAATTCAGAGGTGGGTCCTCAGGTCAGTCTGAAAGGCAGCAGCAACCCACCCCCATGTGGAACACACCAGGCCTCATCTCCCTCCCCCGCCATATGAATTCATAGGAGGGAGACACAGAGGGATTCTCTGGGAGACTCCAGCTTCCTCCAACCCCACCTCCTGCACACAGGGTCTCCAGAGAAGGTGGGAAGGGCTGGTAGCAGGACACACACTCAGAGCTAGTTCAGGTTGCTCTCCTGGCATGGCCCCTCCCCAGCCCCATGGGTGAGAACACAAAAAGCCAGAAAATAGTCCCAGCTGACTTGGGCATAGTGGATCTTAGACTCCTTTCTGGTGATCAGGCACTTGAAGTCTTGTGCTTTTTGTGGCGGTCCCTCTTCCTCCTCAGTCCACCCAACCCATCCATCCATCCATCCATCCATCCATCCATCCATCCATCCATCTGTTCTTTCATTCACCCATCTATCCATCCATCCATCCATCCACCCACTCATCTATCCATCCATCCACCCACCTACTCACCTGTCCATCCATCCATCCATCCATCCATCCATCCATCCATCCACCCACTTACACATCTGTCTACCCACCCATTCATCTACTCTTCTGTCCATCCACCCATTCACCCATCTATTCATCCACCCATCCATCTGCCCTTCCTTCTCTCCTTCCTTCCCACCTTTCCTTCCTTCTCTCCCTCCTTCCTTCTATCTACCCACCTATCCCATCATTCATCTGCACATCCAGTTTCTCATCCACCTGCATCTGTGGGGCATCTATTCATAAAGAACACCAGGTCTTCCCCGTGAGGCACCACAGTTACAGGAGAGACAGGGCAGTGAATAGAAAATTAGTGTGATGAGTAACAACAACTGCCATTTGTTGATGGCCCACCACATACCAAGCATTTTACCCACATTATCCAATTTAGTGTCTGGGGGGGGGAAAATCAGAAAAATAGGTTTCATCTTTTTCATTTCACAGGAATAAAGTGAAACCTAGAGAAGTTAAACCACTTTTCCAGGGTCACACATCTAAGATCTAAGTGGTCTGATGCTAGATCCCATTCTGAGAGCTTCTCCAATATCCAGTGCTATGGAAGGAAGCTGCCAACCAACATATATCTTGGGGCTACAGGGTGGCAGTAAGGAGGCAAGCTGGCTGTTGTAGAGGTTTCACGAAGGAGGGCATGTCTAAATTAATATTTAAAAAGGAGTAGAGCTGGGTGTGGTGGTACACTCCTTTAATCCCAGAACTCAAGAGGCAGAGGTAGGTGGATGTCTGTGAGATCCATGTCAGCCTGGTCTACATAGTGAGTTCCAGGCCAGCTGGGGACTACAGGGAGACCCTGCCTCAAAAAAAACAACAGAAGCAAGCAAGCAAACAAACAAACAACAAAGGACAAATAGAAGTGAAATATTGGTGTGTCGGCATTGTTGTGCAAACTGATTTGGCACAAAATGATGCATTCAGGTCCGTTTAAATTGTCCTTGCTTAGAAATGGCCAACTGGCCTTCCAAGGGTGGGTAGCCAGCAGTGCCATGATCGCTCCAGAACTTCCCCATAAGACATGCTTGCAGCTCAGTCCTTGTGTTGTCTGTTGTTTTAAACACACCCTTTCTTACAGGAAGGTGTGGCAGCCTCCAAAGCTTATAAAAAGTATACAGAAGAGCCATGTAACCTAGTTGTGTTTGTTCAACTTCAGGTGGAAGCAATATTCACCCCTTACACCTGCAAGCACTGTGTGACCTGATGCCAATACAGATTTTAGGGTCAGCTCTGGTGTCCCTGAGCCTCAGCCCCAGGGGTACCAGGCAGGCGGCACCATAAGGAGCACAGGGAAGAGCACTGCACAAGGAAGAGCCTAGCCCTAGGAAGCCCTTCCCTGTAGCCATGTGTTGGCATGGCTAGGATCTGAACTCTCTTCTAGGGGCCCCGTGTCTGTCCTCTCCCAGGAACAGGAAAGGCCCCAGCCTGTTGCTCCCCACCTAAGATCTCAGCCAAGACCCATCCTGACCCTTGCTCCTTCCTCCAGACCCCTTGTGGGCACCATGTGATCCTCGGTACCCAAGGCCAGCCAATTTCCAATAAAGAGCTTACCAAGGAGTTGATTTCTTAGGTTGGTGAGGGTAGCTGTGTGCCAAAACAACTTTACAGATATAGAACTTGGAATTTCACGTCATTTTCATGCACTGCAGAATGTCCTTTTTGTTCTTTATGTTAATTTGTTTTGTTTTTCTTTTCATTATTTAAGACAGGGTCTCATGTAGCCCAGGCTGGCCTCAAACTTACTATGTAGCTGAGGTCGACCTTGAACTTCTGATTCTCCGGCCTCCGCCTCTCAAATGCTGGGAATTCAGGTGTGCTCCACTGTGCCCTGTTTGTGTGGTCCTGGTAGTGGATTCTAGAACTTCATGCATGCTAGGTAAGCACTCTCTTAACTGAGTCACATCCCAGCACCCCCCACCCCTTTTTTAAAAAACTAAAAATATACAGTCTGTTCTTAGCTCTCAGCTTCTGGAGAAATAGAGGCTGGCCTGGGTTCTCAGCAGGCCCTGCCCTCTACCAACTCTTATTTCTCTCTGGTAGTCAAGAACCCCTCCAAATGGCAACAAGGCCATGTAATCCTGCATCCCCAGAATGAGACTTTGGGGTCTCCCTCAGGTCTGGTGGTGGGTCTGGTAGTGGGTTCTCTGAAGCTGAGGCCATATTCTATCATGGGTCAACCTGAGCCTGTCCCCAGCCTGAGCTGAACTGTCTGCCCTTCCTTGTGGAGCCTCCTGCCTTCCACCCAGCATGGGGAATGATCTTCATGCTCTTCTGCCTGTTGCCCCAAGGCAGAAAGACTTGTGCCCCGAACCTTGGCCAGCCTCCATGGAACTGCCCAACACCCTCCCCACTCCCTCAAACTGGTTCTCAGCTTCTCTTCTTAGGTGGTTCCTGTGTCCTGATTGGCTGAGCTACTTGCCAGTCAAGTGCTACCTGATTCTGGTTACAGTTTAGGAGCTCACTGCCTCCTGCCTAGGATAAAGTAGACAGGCCAGAAGGCCAGGGCTGTTTCTTTGCCTGTCTCCTACTGGACCTTGGCTGTACTCCTTCTCCTCTGCTCTCTGCCTCAGTTTATTCATAGGGAATGGAAGGGCTTAGCTCAATGTGTGTGAGGTCTGGAATCCTAGGGGAAAACCGGTCAGCTGCCTGCCTGGGGTGTGGCTGGACGTTGCCCAGTCTGGATGCTGCCCAGGCTGGGGCCTCCTCTTCTCCCCCAACCAGAGCCCCATTGAGCAGTCCCCTGGGTCCTCACCACCAGTGCCACCATCTAGATGGTGCTGGATCCTTTGTCTCCTATAAGATACCAGTCCCGCAGGAACTAGTTCTAAAGTCGAGGCAAAGTAAAAGTTTGTTATAGAAAAGAAACCCAGCAGCTCTGCCTGGCAGACAAGCCTTGAGGGTAGGTGGTGCTAGCTCATCTCAGTTTATTGGAAAGCTTTGAATATTTGGAGGAGGCACCCAGCCTATGTACCACCCACTATACATAGAGCTCAGATGTGCCAGTGTTTTGTCCCAGATCACCCCAGGCCCTGTAAAGATCTTACTGTGCTTATACATTTCAGTGAGGGTCCCTCAGGCTTGCCATTGTATTGGTGGTCGCTGGTGATAGTTCATCTGCCCTGTCTGGCCACAGCTTCCTGCCACAGCTTGCTTGAAGACTGTGCTTTTATTACTCAAGGAAGAAGAAATCCTGGTACCTGGTCCTGGTACCTGAAGGGCTCCTCCATGAGGGAGCACTTTACAGGGGGAGGAGCTTGGACTTTGCACCTTATTCTATCTACTGGACAATACTGGGCAGTTGGCCAGCAACAGCCTGCCTGACCCAGGTCCTCCAGGGCTGTCTGGTTGGGACAAGTCATGAGAATAGTTTTCACAGCAGATGCTATTTACTGTGACTGCCCCCTTTCTCTTAGCAGACCCCTTGTCATGTCTACTTTCCTAAAGCTCTAGTGTTTTGGATCTTATCCCTATTCCCTGGAAGCTTGTCCTAGAGACCCCACCTACCCACAGGACATGGGTGTCAGTGTAGAAACCCAGTCCCAACTCTGAAACCTGAGGGCTTTCCACGGGAGAGCTACAGTAATTTACTTCCCCAGTGTCACAAGAGAGGCCAGGTGAGCACCTGTTCCTGATACTCAGCTGCCTGGATGCAGTAATATGAATTTCTTCCTGTGGAGGGAGCACATATTTGGCCTGCCTGGGCCCAGAAAGGAAGGAGACACAGGCCTGAACAAAGGGTCCCTGCCAGAAAGTCTTCCTCTCCGGCTGGTTTATCCTGGAGTTTACCGAGTGTCTGTGGGGGAGGCAGGCTGTCCTGGGAGGCCTAGGGGAAGAAGAACAATAGCTGTCCTTGTAGTGTCCAGGCAGACCTTCCTTGAGCCAGGCCAGGGCTCCAGGATCTCAGACTCCGCTTTCCAACACATACAAACACTTTTTCCTCTTGGGGAGACTGCGGGGGAGTTACTGAAGTCAGAAACCCTTTACAGCAGGAGCTACTGGGTCAGGCCAGATCCCCAGTTGCTGCCATTCTGCATGTCACACCCCAAGTTGAAGTCCTGGGTATACCAGATTCATCTTCCCCTTGTAGTCCTTGGGTCCCCATAACCATTTATTCACACCCTACTTGCATGCTACCTGTGATGAGGATTTCCCCAGGCAGCCTTTCATTTCCCTGGGCAGCTCTGCTTCAAGCCGTGCCCAAAGCTGCCCTTTTGAAAGGGCAGCTAAAGAAAACTTCCTCTAGCTGAGCTGTCACAAGGCTGAAGGGGACTTCTTGGGCAGCCTCATGCCTCTCCCTTAGCGCAGCTCCAGCTCCAGTCCCTGGAAGTGTGCAGAGTAAGGAGGGTAGAAACTGCTAAGTGGGAGCACTGAGTGGGAGCACATCTAGAAAAGGATGGAGACCCACATGTGTACGGGGAGGGAGAATCAGAGGGGAACAGGTGGGAACAGCCCTGACCTCCCCTCCTTTCCTTCTGCCCTGGTCCCGTATGTCTCCTTCCCCAAAGCTGCAGGAACATAGCCTGGTCTGTGCTGCTCCGCACCCCAGCCCAACTCTGCCTACGCAGCTGTCCCAGGCCAACTGTCCTCACCCAGCTGCCCATCATTGGCTCCCTGCACCCCATGGGTCTTGTCTGGTCTTGGGAAGGAGGAGAGGGAGGCCAACTTCCTACCTCTCCTGAGGCCCCCAGCTCCTGGAGCATTGTGGAGGGGCATAGCTTACTTGGGCTGGCTCGTATTATTCACAGTAACCATATATACTCAGAAACAACCAAGATGTACCAGGTTAGACTACCAGCCACAAGCTTTCTAGGCTGTGAATTTCAGTATGGCATTACAGGGGGTGGACTGAATGGATTTCATGGGACCTGTGACTTCCCCAGAAACTCTGAAAAATGCTACCTATACATGAATTTTCTGGGGGAGTCTATGACCCCTGCCCTAAAATATGAATAAGTGCTGATCAGTAGAATAGACTCCTATGCAACCTGTTAAATTGTGTTTGGGGGGGACTGGAGAGATGGCTCAGTGGTTCAAAGCACTGACTGCTCTTCCAGAGGACCCAGGTTCAATTCCCAGCACCCACATGGTGGCTAACAACCATCTCCAGTTCCAGGGGATCTGACACCCTCTTCTGGCCTCCATGGGCACTGTATACATGTGGTGCACTTATATGCAGACAAAACACTCATACACTTAAAGTAAAAATAAATTTTAAAAAAATGTAAAGATTGTTTTGGACCAGCACCTTCTCACAGAGATTATGCAAAACTCTCTGCTGGAATGAGCCCAGGTTTGGTTTAAAGCACACACAGGAAGTAGCTACTTAAGGTATTGGCAGTTGCTATGGGAGTAAGATGATATAGAAAATATTTTTTGTTGGATTTGGGTTTTTCTGCATTTGTTGGGTATTTTGTGATGCATATTTATTCCCTTTTGCCATGGGAGGGTGGCATTCAGTCCCCTCTCCTGACAAGCTAGGATACTTCTAGCCCCAGCAGCCCCAGAGCCCCAGCCTTGGTCCCTGAGAGAGCACTGCCAGGCTGGGGAGCAAATCCCAGGTCTCTCTGGTCTCCCTCAGTTACTTGCTAACTTCTTGGCCTTGTAACTGTGACTTCTTCCAGAATCTCCCCAGATGAGTTCCAGAGACTGGGGTTATGGAGGTGAGACCAGAGAAAAACTAGCTATGTGACTTTGGGCTAGGCATCTAACCTTTCTGGGCCTCAGCACAGTGTAAAGCAGGAACAGTGTTCTTTGCTGTGTTGTGAGTGAACTGAGATGACTGAGGGTTGGGGTTTGCATCACTGGCTCCCTTCCCTACCCTGCCCTCTCTGACCTGCCTTCCTTCCCTTCATCTTCCCAGGGAGCTCTAGAACGTGCAGGATGGGAGCAGCTTGCATCAAAGTCACCAAATACTTCCTCTTCCTCTTCAACTTGCTCTTTTTTGTAAGTATTTGGCACCCAAGCCTGACCTTTAGAACCCTGAAGCTGTGGGATGGGCACCCAGGTTGGATGTGGATGCTAGTCACAGAATACTGTCCCCAGAAGAATCCGGTGAGGGTGGAAGTGAATCTCCACACTCCAAAACGCTCTGACAAAGTGACAGTTTCTCTCCCAGCATTCCCTCTCCAGAGCCCTCTGCCAGCACTGGGTGGGGCGGGGGGAATCCTCCCTGCAAGGCAGAATAGCAGGAAGATGCCCAGTATCTCTGTTTGTTTTTTCTTGCCCCCACAGCCTGTTGCCTATTATGACCCTAGCCTCAACAGGCCTCCAACACCCCACCTAGAGCTTTCAGAGACCACAGAGGACATAACTTCCCCACACTCCCCTGAAGACCCGCTAGATCCTCCTCCCAGATGTGAGCTCTGTGGTACATCTGGAGCTGGTTTTCATGGGGCCCTGGACTTCCCTTCTGGCCTAGAACCAACTGAGTGCTGCCTTGGAGCTAGCTGCCAGAACCATGGTGTGCACGTGTGTGCATGTGTGCATGCATCGTGTGTGAGTGCACGTATGTATTTGTGTGTGTGGGGGGGTGTGTGAGCAGCCTGGAGGGGCCTTGACATGTTTATTGTGTCAAAAATATGTTTTTGACATTTTATGATGTCTAGATTCTTAAAAACATGAGTATGTTTAAGAGGAGAGGGAAACACCTCTGACTCCATTGGGGTTTCTCTGGAGTTAGAATGAGTATTTGTAGGGGAGTTTCACATTCCAAGTACATGGGATGATGGGAAGTTTGGAAAATAACACAAAGCATCATTCTAAATTTCCCTTTATAACTTTAGCCCAATAGATGGTACTTATAGGAGAGTTCCTGGCACACATCCATACATGTGTGCATATGTACAGGTGGGCAGTCCTAGCACTAGTCACCCTGGCTCCACTTTTTGTCCCTCTGCAAGGACCTAGGACCACACTGACCCCACTGGGCCTCAGGCCCTACATTGAGGGCATCCTACCAGAGACTTCCTCCCCTCACCCCCCCACTTCTATCCCCAGCAGGTTCCAGGCACTGCCCTCCCCAGCCTGGCAGGCATATTCCTCCCAGCTTGCCACTGGGAAACAACTGCTTAGGTAGGCAGAGGACAGCAACCTTGTGGACACTGGGCTCCTGGGCTGAGAGGGACTATAGACCAGGATGGGGCCATCACTGCGATGCCATCCCTGGGGCCTTTGGGAGCTAGTGAGAGGGGTCCGAATTCACACCTGGGGAGGTGGCAGGGCCTGGGGTGAAGGGGCACAGAATTCTTTCCTTTATACAGTTTGGGAGAAACAATGGAGAAGGGCCAAGATCTAATAGAAAATAGGAGTAGGGTACATGGCTTGGCAAGAGCGCATCTATGCATCCCTATTCTGCCCCACAGAGCCAGAGGCCAGAGTGCTGGCAGAGTAGGTGTTCACTGCCTGTGTTCTGGATGCAAGTAGCTCATCAATGGGCAGAGGAAGAAGGTAGAGGCAGAGCTTATTCATAAATTCCTTCCCCGCCAATCCCCCAGCACGGGCACAGCTCTGAATCTATCTGTGGGTTTCACTCAGGACAGGTGAAATATCCTCAAAATGTTGTACTGAGTGTGTACAGGCTGCAGCTAATCATGATTCCTTAGACAATGCAATGTGATAAGTTTATATAGCATTTACAGCATGTCAAGTGTCAGGTATTATAACTCATCCTGGGGCGATTTAAAGTATAGGGGAGGGACTGGGGCTTGGTTGGTGGAGTGCTGGGTGCTAGCCACAAAGGCCAGGCCAAAAGGAAAAGGGAAGTCAATGGAGGTTTCCTATGATGCCGTGTGGCTGAGGAGAGAGGGTCTTAGCAGCAGAAGCTAAGCCCAGTGTGGGAAGGAGAGCAAGCCTCATGCCCCTTTGGTTCTGGCTCTGGTCTTAACAGCCACAGAGGGAGGTTGGTGGAGGGGCCAGGCAAGCTTCTGGACTCAGGCTGAGGGCTTGTAGCAAGTGCTGACTGACCTTGGACCTGATTGAGATTATAGGATGACAGCTGGGGTGGCAGGAATACAAGCCAGTGATAGAGGTAGGACCCTTAAGTGGCTGTCCACCAATGGGTCTAGTCCAGGCCCCAGGGAACACCCTCCCTGCTGGAGTTACTCAGACCACCCCATCCTCAAAGGGAATGTGTTCCTTTGCAGGGACAGTAGTTGATTCCTTGACCTTAGCTGGCCTGTGGGTGGTGCATCTTAGTTGGGACTCAGCCCATGGGGGTAAGCTGTGTGGGGACCTGTCGTGGTAGAGGGCCTCCATCACCCCTCATTCTAAGCCTGAAAGAAGCTGGTCCTGTGGGGCTCCCAGGAGACCAAAGCTGCGTCCACTCACCTGTCTTCAGGAGCTCACAGTTCAGCCTGAGAAATAAACCCAGCAGGGGTTGGCAATTAAGTAGGGTGACACAGTGGTGGCTGCCACAGAGCAGGGTTTCTGATTTGGCAGACAGGAATCAGGGGTGGCTCCCAGAGTGGGTGACCTCATTGCTGAGCACAGAGTAGATTTTGATGTTCAAGCCCGTAGAGGGTCTTCCCCAGGGCCTGACTCTCTAAAGATGCTTAAGGCCTTGCACTGGGCTGGACCAAGAAGACTATAGGACAAGGCCTGAGGCAGGCAGGAAGGGCCACTGGGCATGTTGATGCAAAAACAGCTCTCACCTCAAAGGGAATATGAGATAGTTTCTTCTTCAGCCAAATATGAGCAATGGTGGTCAGGAAACACAGATTCAGTCTACTCCAAATTCCACATTTTAGGAAGGCAAGAGCTTCCTGCAGTTCTTATGCACTTATTTTTTTTAATATTTCATTTATTATTATTTTTCTGTGATGAGTATACCACCTGCATGTGCATAAATACACCTGTGTCATACAATGCCAGTGGAGGACAGAAACGGGTATCAGAGCCCCCTGGAACTGGAGTTAACGGATGGTTGTTAGCCACCATGTGGGTGCTGGGATTTGAATCCAGGTCCTCTGCAAGAGCAGCCAGTTGCTCTTAACTGCTGAGCCATCTCTTCAGCCCCTATTTTTAGTTTTTTGGTGTGTGTGTGTGTTTTGCATGTGTGTGAGTGTCTGCAGGTACATGCTACTTTGTGTAATGCATGTAGAAGCCAGAGCAGGACCTCAGATGTCTTCCTCTGTTGTTATCTGCCTTATCCCTGGACAGGGTCTCTCACTGAACCAAGGTCTTCATTTCTGCCATGCTGCCCAGCCAGAGAGCTCTCATGATCCTCCTGTATCCGCCTCCCAATGTTGGGGTTACATGCACAGCCTTGCCTGACTTTTTATCTAGGTGCTAGGAATTTGAACTCATGTCCTCATGCTTGCAGAGCAAGTGTTCTTACCCACTGAGCCATTTCACCAGCGCCTCGTGAGGTTTTTATAGTAAGGGATCAAAGAAAGTCATAAATTAAGGCACTTCTAAAAAAATATAAAATAATACATATTTTTATTTCTTTCATTCAATGATGTAAGCCAAACGCTCACTTGATGTAGATTCACAAGAACTTCCTTGCACACTCACAGCTCCACAGACTGGCATGTCCAGAGCCACTGCGGTCACTGTGTGGAGCGTCGTTTCTTTTCTGTTGCCGTGATGAAACACCATGACCAAGCAACTTCGGGGGAGGGGTTTATTTTGCTCCTACTTCCAGATCACAGTCCATCACTGAGGGAAGTCAGGACAGGAACTCAAGCAGAAACTTGAAATAAAAACTATGGAAGAAGACGGCTCACCAGCTTTATGCTGAGCTAGCTTTCTTACATAGCCCAGGCCCATCTGCCAGGGATGGTGCCGCCTGCCCATAGCAGTCATGACAGTCCTCCGTAGACATGGCCACAGGCCACTCTGACTTTCCTCTCCGTTGACTCTAGACTGTGTCATGGTGAAAATTAATGCTAACACAGATGCCCCAACTTTTTTTCAATCTATTTCTTTTTTGTGCTCTAAAACATCTTCATTATGCTGTTTGAGGTAGACCAATAGAAAGACCGTGGTACCCATGGTCAGCCCAACTTTCAGCCTGTCACGTTTGGTATTTGGAGGCTCCTCCACATAGAACTTTGAGGGACAGGGAGGAACCATGAGACAGTCTGAAGATTTCTGTGGAACTATCAAGTACGGTGGTTTCATCAGAGGAATTTCTGTCATGGTCCTCAGATGCTATCTGAAGGCATTATTAGACTTTGGAATGATAGAATCTACTGTTTGTGTATTCTAAAAGAAGTTCTTCAATAGTCACAGGATGTTAGGTCACACACAAGGTGGGCAATAAATTTCTATTTAGAGGCAAAAGATAGTAAGATAATTTACTCCCAACCTGTAACATTCTAACTCTCCACAATTGCAAAAGGTTTAATCACCCCATTAGCCTTGTAGACACTAACACAAGTGTGACTTTTTTTGGAAACTGGAGTTCACAGGGAAGAGGGCACCAGTAGGGATAGTGAATGTGTGTGTGTGTGTGTGTGTGTGTATGTGTGCATGCACGCATGCATGCTTGTGTGCACATAGGAGACACCCAGAGTGACCTTGGGCTGGGAAAGGATGGATGATGGAGTCACTGTGTCCTCCTGCCCTTCCCTCTTTTGCTTGGGCCATAGGGGCAGCTAGACAGAGAACCTTCTTGTCCCCCATCCTCCCCGTTCCTAGGCCCCGACTGACTGCCCCTCTGCTTGCAGATCCTGGGTGCAGTGATTCTGGGCTTCGGGGTGTGGATCCTCGCTGACAGGAGCAGCTTCATCTCTGTCCTGCGTAAGGCGACCCTGCCCTACAGCCAGCCTGCCCTGGAGGGGAGGGACACCAGGCACAGCTGCCCCTGGGGATGAGGCCAGCTCCCATTGCTGACCGCTGCATAGGGGCCCCTTGCCAGGATTCCAGGACGAAGTCCTCCTCACAGACAAAGCCACTGTTGTCCTCAGATCCCTGACTAGGAATGGGAGGGTTCTTTCTCTATACCCCCCAAACTCAGAAAAACTTATTATATCCTGTCCCTGCCTTTGACTGAGCAATGAAATGTGTGCTACAATCACTCTCTCCCTATTTCAGAGCAACACAGGGAAGAGCCAGGAAAGATAGACAGTTGGGTATACATAAGCCCTTAATCCTAACAGCCCCATTCTATTCCTGCTTTACAAATGAATGAACAGAGACATTAAGACTCTGGCTGAAGTTCACACAGCTCCTAACTTGTGATAGCAAGACCCAACCCTGAGAGCTTTGGCCCTCAATACAGCACAGGGTTGGATGAGCCTCAGCTCAGGGCCCCCTTTGCTCTTCAAAAGCAGAGGGACGACCAGTATGGGCCTGAGGATTACAGGAATACCCAGCTTCCTTGCTTCTTCCTCTAGGAGCTCCTCATGGCTTTCTGTGCTGGCCTGTCCCAGTTCTGGAGGGGAGGGGCTTAGCACTCCAGGAGCATTCTGTACCAGCCCTTCCCCAGGGAACTGGCTGGCCCTGGCGGGTCCTGGCCTTCTTCCCACCCAGCAGCTGTCCAGACAGCTGGATTGGACTCTAGCCAGTGACAGCTGCTTGATTTAAATGACAAAACCTGGCTGGGATGTGGAGTTTTGGGAGTACACCTGTTGCTCTGGTCAGTCCCCAGAGGCCAGGCCTGGCTCCATGGAATGGGGAGCAGGGATGAACCCACTGTGAGCTGTCAGTCTCTTACCCTGAGCCCTGCCTTCTGGGTTAGGGTGAGGTGGGTATTCCATCTCCCTCCCCACCTCCCAGTGCCCCACCCCCCACAGACACGCCCTCCTCAGGCCTGGCTTTGGCCTTCTAGGTCTAGCCTACCTCCAGCAGGCACTGTGCCAGAGGGCAAAGTCTACAGGCCTTTCTGCCTGTGGCCTGCCCTGCTCCACCAGGTGGAAAGGTGCTGACATTCTCCCAGCTCTGTAAATTCCAGGGCCAGGCCCCACCTGCCACATACCCATTCATGGCCTGTACCAATGCTGCAACAGCCCCCAGGGGCTCCTAGGCAGCCAGGGCCCAGAAACACTGATCTGTGAGGCTGAGCAGGTTGTGATTTCTGGGCCAGCCTAGGCTAGATCCCACAGGGTGAGATCTTGCCTCAAACAAAACCAAAGCAGAAGGAAAAGAAGCCCTGATCCATAAGCCCAGCCACGTACACATGGGGAAACTGAGGCTGCTGGAGCCTCTTCTTGCTAGGAGCCACACTATAAAGGAGGGTTAGGAGGGGACCCAGGGCTCCTGACTTGATGTGTCTGGCCTGTGTGACATACCTAGTCATCTCCTTGCTGTGAGGCCCTGGCACTGGGATCTGCCCCACCCCTCCTGTTTACAGAGGAAGAAATCAAAGGACAAAGAGGTGGTAACCTGCCTGAGAGCACACAGCAGTGGGAGTGGGTAAGGGAGCCCATGCCCATGCCCTAGCCCCCAGAATCTTGTGATTTTACTGTGTCCCTTGAGAGGAGCAATCTTCTGAAAGGGAAGGACATTGGGGTCCTGGTCTGTTGTCATAGTCATAGCTCTGCTGCCTACCAGTTGTGTGACCCTCAACAAGTGACTTCCCCTTTCTGTGCTGTATCATCTACAAAATGGGAACGCCAACAAAGTGAACCTCATGAGGTCATGAGACATGAGTCTCCTCTCTAACACCAGAAGTAGTGGCACACACCTGTAACTCCAGCACTCGGGAGATAGAGGCAGAAGGGTCAGTTTGAGGTCATTTTTGGCTACAGAGGAGGTTCCAGGCCAACCTGGGCTACATGAGTCACTGTCTCAAACAAATATATCAGAAAGAAGCTCTTTCTTATATGAAGCACTTAGCACAGCTCCGAGTGAATTGTGTAATACATTTTAATCCTTCCATCAGCCATGAGAAGCAGCAGTGAGTCCTTTTACCAGGGAGGAAGGAGGAAGTGGCTTGGCAGGGTTGGCGTATGCAGGCAGCAGAGCTTGGATCACCTGACTTGTGCCCAGTCCTTTCAGTTTGGGTGGCTTGCTTGTTACTTCCCTAGTCCCATTGGCCAGGTCAGACCCATGGGGTCTCCTGCTTGCATGGGCCAGGGGCCACCCCCAGGATGGACAGGCTGTCCAGTTTTGGGTAGACTGAGGTACTGAGTGGAAACCACAGGCCTTGGGGCCTCTGAGGGCTGGCTCCAAGGGCTGACTTCTCACACTAGCTTCCTTAAGCCTGTGTGTTCCCAAGGCAACCCGCATGTGAATTCTACCTCCCCAGGTGGTGCCAGAGTGTATAAGAGGCTTTGCTCCAAAGGCCTTGCCCAGGGCTGGTGTGTGGCACCCTTTTAGGCCTACCTGGTCTCTCCCCTGGAGCCCAGACTGGAACTTATGGCCTCTCCCCACTCCTGTGGCTGCCCACCCCCAGCATGTGAGGTCCTAGGAAACCCCACTCACCCCATGGGACTTCCCTAAGCTTCCTGGGGGTTCCTAAGGGGAGCTGGCAACAAGCCTTCCCTGGTACCCTGAGAACAGGGAGGGTGGGCCTGGGCTCTTCCTGAGTTTCAGAACATTCTGTGAACGTAGGGCCTCCTATCACCCACCATCCAGCTGTGTCATTTTTAAGGACTGGGTCACCCCCTCCAGTGATCAAGGCCAATTCTATAGCCAGGCCTGTATCTCCCCTGCTGGACAGTCAAGGTCAGCCCTGGGTGTGCCCCCATCCCTGGGGAGTCACATGAGCAATGCCTTTCCCCTCCAAGAGAGTTTGACTCCAAGGTTCTGCAAGTATCTGGGGTTTTGAGAGGATCCTCTGGCCAGGCATGGTGGCTGACTGATACCTTGTAATGCCAGCACTCAGAGGCATGAAGATTGGGAGTTTGAGGCTAGCTAGGCTATAGCAAGACCCTGTCTCAACCAAGACAAAATAAAACAAAAACACAAGTCCCCCATTCCACTGCCTCCAGCCTCTGACCATAGACCCCGCCTCCTCCCATGAGTCTGCCCAGTTCCCCACACCATCCTGACAGGTATCCCACAGTGGTCTAGCCTTCTCAGACACTCCTCTTTCACCTTTGTACCTACCTTGATCTCTGCCTTCTATGGTGCTCTTGGGGGCCCTCAAGGGAGCCTATGTGGTGACTGCCTCTTGACTCAATGCCCTCTTCTGAATCTCAGGCCTGCCGTGCACAGCCCCTTGGGAAATACAATCCCAGGCCACCTTTCTGCACTCAGCATCTTGGTGCAAGACCAGAGAACACTAAGAAAAATAAGTAACTCTAGGCTAGATGAGAGTGGGGTGCAGCTATACCTGGGGCCAGGATGGGGCACACACAGGAGGTGGCCAGTGGCTTCTTGTTCACAGGACCATAGCCTCCCCCTTCCAGCAGCAGGTCTGGACTGAGCCCTGGAGTTCATGATGCTGAGCTCACTGTGTGTATGCCCTTTTCCTCCTCTAGAAACGTCTTCCAGCTGGCTGCAGGTGGCAGCCTATGTCTTCATTGGTGTGGGTGCAGTCACCATGGTCATGGGCTTCCTGGGTTGCATTGGTGCTGTAAATGAGGTCCGCTGCCTGCTGGGGCTGGTGAGTCAGGGCCATGAATCTGTGGTGGCCCAGGGCCCAGGTGGGGTGTTCCTCCTGGGACAGGGGACAGACATCCTGGGGCCCATAGCTAATTCAATACCTCTCTGTCCCCAGTACTTTGCCTTCCTCCTGTTGATCCTCATTGCACAGGTGGCTGCGGGGACCCTCTTCTACTTCAATGCCGGCAAGGTGAGTGCCTTCCCTTCCCACCACCAGTGGGTGAGGTTGATGGGACAGGGGTCTTCAGTGTGGGGCAAACAGAAAGTCAGTTGTCATAGACAGCCCAGTAGGTGCCAGGGACAACTTCCTGTGCCTCTTGATCCTTGTAATACAAGGTGGGACAGTAGAGGGGAAGGCAGAGCCTGTGATGGAGTCACCACTGGGCCTGAATCTCAGATTGCTGTGAGGTCTTGGGCTACCCACTGCCCTCTCTATGCCTTCACCGTCAGTCACCTGAGATGGGTGCTATGAGGATCTTAGGGAGATAGCAGGTGCGTGACTGAGGGAATGACTGATAATGTGTACAGTCTTTGTCATTAAGGCACTTGAGTCTGCATCAGACCCTGCTACTCTGCCACAGAGGAACCCAGGGAAAAGCCCATTTATACATACATTAGTCCTCTGTCAGCAAGGAAGCATTTAGCTCTCACTGTGAAAAGTCACTACAGCTTAAACTCAAAGGATATTTGCTACTGACTTCTCCAAAAGTCTCATTTAGAAGCCTGGAGACTGTTCAATTTCCCCACTGGGATGGATTTTCTGCAGAATGCCACTCACCCCATGGTCACAAGGTGGCTGCCACAGGACTAGGCACAGCATCTGTAGCCAGAAGAGGATGTGGGAGATGCCAGCCAGATTCATCCTTTTTCTCAGAAAGCCTCTGACATACTTCTCCACACGGGTCACAAAAGCACCACTGCCTTGGGGAAGGCCAGGAAAGTGAGCACCACTTTTCAGGCTCTAAAGTCCAAATTGCAAGAGAGAAAGGAAAAAGGAAGCAGGGGCTGTTGGGAATCACAAATGCTCTGTGCTTGAACATGGGCCTCTGCTATGGTGTTGGTGTAGTCTAGAAGTCTCCCAGGTGACCTCACATGTTTACAGGTGGAGAAGCAAATGCAGTCATAGTCACTGGGACCCCAGTGTTCCTGTGGCCTGGTCCACACAGGCCCCAAACCAAGCTCAGTACCACTCGCTACATCCACTCCTTACTAGTCACCAGCCTGGCAGGGTCACAGGAAAGGTGAGGCCATAGGGGCCCTCCATCCTGTAAGCAGAGGGATCAGGGTAGCCCAGTTTCCCTGACTCCCCAGCTGTGCCTTGGGGCCTCCTTCCTGTCCTGCCATGCAATAGAATGACAGAGCTGACAGCACAGAGGTGGGGTGGGGTCCTGTATTTTCCCACTTGAAGGTTAACTACCCAAGATACTTTTGGAAGCTGAGAAAACATTGTCGCAACATCAGCCAGCGCTCAGCAGAAGTGAGCACCATATACACTGCATCTCATTATTCCTCAGAACCATGCAGGACCGTGCAGGAGTTTTGAGAGGGGAGGAACCCTGTCTTCAAACATGAGAACTGAAGAACAGAGTGGTTAAGCAACTTGTCTGTGCCCACACAGCTAGGAAACAGCAGAGACAGGATGGGAATCTGGGCACCTTGGTTTCTGGGGTCATACTGATAAAATTTTCACTGTGATACTTCCTCCCTTGATCTACTATAATCCACACCTAGCCTGTTTTTCAGGTGAACTGGGCTGGCTCCCAACATGGGCATAGGGCAACTACAATCAAAATAAGAGAAGAGAGCTTGTGCCAAGGGGAAAGATGTTGTTTCTGAAGCCAGGCGGCTGAGGGCTGATTTGAGCACTGAGCCTCCTGGCTGCTGAGGCAAAAAAAGGAACTGGAGTTACTAAATGAAAGGATGCTTTTTTGGCTGTCAGACCAGAAGCCCATGGTTAGAAGAACCTTCTTACCCCAAGAAGGGCTTTGAGTCAGGTACTCATTCTTTCCCATGGTACCTGAGGCTTTTCTGGGTCCAAGTGGTACATTACGATCAGGTAGGTAGGAACGTAGAAACATGTCCCAGTGAGATGCTCCCCATGGCTCAGAAGTCAATGACCTATGCAGGGGTCTCAGCAGTCATCTTCTCCCCACAAGCGAGTCATCTTCTTAGGATAATAAAGAACATCAGCTAGGTGGGTACCAAACCTCTGTCAGAGGCCAAGCTTGAACATGTGACATGGTTCAGATTAACACACATTTTCCATTTAAGAAACAAAGACTCACAAAAGCCATGGTGGCCTTGGTCACATTATAGGCTGCAGAGGCTGCAATGTTTCCCCATGGGCCTCTCTGGCCCACAGCCATGGCTGCCTCTGCCTGCTGTGCCCCATCTGTGGGAGAAGCTTTGCCTACTGTGCCCAGAAGCCCAGTGTCTGGGCCCCTCCAGCCTCAGGCCAGGGCTCACTGAAGAACCAGGCCTTGGCTGTGACCAGTGCTGTTCAGTGCCACCCAGTGTCTGGCACCCCATGGCCCCAACTCTACCACCTGACCCCCTCAGGCTCCACAACTCACTCCTTTGAGCTTTGCCTGGAAGGGACAGGGATCCACTGGACTGTGTGAGATCTACCCCTGAACGCCCTGCACTTGGAAAAAGCATTTTTCTTTCTGGGGCGCATTGCAAATCCCAGCAGGAGACTAAACATCCTTCTGTGGTGTTTATTCCTGAAAACAGGCCCAGCTGGGGAGGTGGGGTAGGGCTTGTGGAGCTGACGAAGCACTTTCCAGAAGATGGACCAAACTTTCCCTATGGCCTTATCAGACCTCCTACTCTGAGGTCCTAGGTGCCCTATCCAGCCTCTCTCTGCCCCAGTTTCCTCTTCTTTCGAGTGATGGTGATGACTCAGGCCACTGTTCCTGCCTACAGCCCAGTTGATGACAGCAGGATCCACGAACAGGAGGCCATCAGGAGTCTTGTTTCCCACACTGACGTCATCTGGAAGTTCAGTGGGCACTATTACAATTCTTCCACAAGCCCCACTGGCCTGTGGCACATCCCATGCCTTTCTAGTTGTTTTGAGAAATGGTTTCATGTACCGTAGGTTAGCCTTAAAGTTGCTATGTAGCCAAGGATGACCTTGAAATTCTGATTCTCCTGTCTCCACCACCCAAGTGCACAACTACACCTGGCTTTATGCAGATGGAACCCAGGGCTTCATGTATGCCAGGCCAGAACTCTAACCTCTGAGCCGCATCCACATCCCTGCCCAGCTCTTTGTGAGATCTGAACACTTCTCCATGCTCGGGCCCCAAGAGGTGCCTCCCAGTGCTGTGTGGACAGGGTACTAGGATTAAGGCTTGGTACTCAGTCATGAGTGGCAGCTGCTCCTTCAGTGGTGAGGGGGTCTGGGGGTGCAGTCATGGTCCCTTGGCTGTTTCTCTACTGGGTGTTCACTCAATCCTTGTTGCAGGGGCAGGGGCGGGGGTGGGGGTACTTGGCATTCAGGTCCTGTTCCTGGTCCAGCTCTGCTACTGGTCTCTGTGTGGCTCTCTGGTGGTTTCCCAGCCCTCTGAACTGTATAGACTTCTAGGCCTGAGATTCTGACTAGGGCAGTAGAGGGTGGGAGCACCAGGGGAGGCAGTGAGGCAGTGAGACTGGCTTGGGTGTGCAATGACCATCACACGCTAATCTCCCATCAACCTGCACAAGTGTGGTAAGAAAGGCTACAAGAACCTGGGTTGGGCTGGGGTGCAGGGCCTGGAACTACAACCTGGGGGGGGGGAAGGGACTCAGGTAGAGGGAGGCGGTTCCAGGATTGCTCCAGGGAGGTTGTTACAGCTGGAATTCCCCCCTCCAGGAATTCACGGTGTCATAGGCCTGTGGCAGAAGTGGTATGGCAGGTGGGTTCCCAGGACAGTGCCTTCTTTGCAAGGGTCTGCTCTTGCAGGGGGTAAGAGTGCCCCATTCACAGGACAGGTGGCCTGTCCCTTCCTCTCTGTAAAGAGAAAAGGCAGCTGGCTGCTGGTCACTCAGGGTCACAGAGACACAAGGGAACCTCTCAAGTGAGCCTGGAGACCCAGACACAGGCTCTGCCTGGGGACCGGGGTTTGCCCTCAGCAGGAGGTTGTGACACGTCTCCTGCCAGTTCTGTGGATTGCAGCTGGCTTCTGACATTAGAGGTGCCATGTTCTGCCCCACAGCCCTGGCAGAGAGCCTCATTTCCTAGTGGGCTCCCAGAGGAGCACCTGGCAGCATCTAACGGGGGGGAGCAGCAGAGAAGAGGGAGGGACCCACCGTCCAGGTAGTGCTGACACATAGAAGGACTGAGCATCATCCCACAGAGCCTGGAAAGGGACCATGGAAAGGAGGGCAGAGGGCGTTCCAGTCCTACCTGACCTGGGAAATAACTTGATTGGTCCTTTGGCACAAACCATGGCGAGTTGCTTATATGGATAGCCCTCCAACCCTGTGGTATGCTCTGACACTGAGGGGGTACTGAGTTTTCCATGACAAGCAGCATCTGGGCAGAGGCTGGGCCAATGTGGGAAGGAGTCTCATTGGGCACTGTGCTGTACTTGAAGGCTCCTGCCATCCTGGATCTACCTGGTGAAATGATCACAGAGCCTTGTGGGGCTCTTGGGTCAGGCAGACTTGGGGGTGGCAGGTGGGGACCTCAGCCTAGGAGCTGCATGGTTCTGGCTTACAGAATCTCTGCTGCCTGCTGACTGTGGATCCTGGGAACTTGTTCTGGCATCTGAGCCTCAGTTTTATCTCCTGGGAAGTGGGGGACTTGTGGAGTCACACAGACTCTGACTCACAGGTGGCCCTGTGGTTGGTCTGATGCCCTGAAAAGATGTGAAACAGTGATGTTGCCTTTGGGGTCTCATTAGGAAGGGGCAGTTTGACAAGTTGGAGAGCAGGGTAGGGTGGATACCATCCAGAAGCCAGCCAGGGGGTCATGAGCTCCTTCTCATCCATGGATTCTGATGTCCAGGGTTGTGACAGAACTCAGCCTCTCCCCACTGCCAGCCCTGCTCTTGTGTGTAGTCCTTCCTCTTGTGTGGCCTGTCCCCTGGAGAGCCCAAGGATTGCTCAGCCTCTCCTAGAAGAGGTCCATGTTACATGCAGCCATCCCTGACCTCTGGCTGTAGCCAGGGTGCACATGGTACCAGGTGGTGGCCTGAATCTTTTGTCTGGCCAGCTGCAGGAAGTGACCGAGGGGCAAATCACCCCAAGAGGAGCCACTGTCTAAGAAAGGCAAGTGGAAATGAGGTAAACAGAAGCCACAGAGAGGCCCTTGTAGGGAAAAGTGAGGAGCCCATAGTTCCTCCACCTGCCTCCTTGGGCTTTCCGGTCTCAACAGCTCCCTGGTTGCCAGGGTGACCTTCCTACCCTTCCAACATGGGTCCCTGAGCACTGGGATCCCAAGGGTCTGCTCCGAGCTGATCCAGCCCTGTGGCTGTGGTCCCTGTGGACCTGGTCCCTGAGCCCAGCTGTGTCAGCCATATCTTGTACTGCAGGATGCTGTCTTATTGCCATGGAAACTACCTACCCTGGTGGAAACCACCAAGGCCTCCATCACCTTCTGGTGTCTGCAGCCAGGCTAGGGGTTGGGGAGAGACAGGGAAGTCCAGCTGCCATGGCAACCACCCAGGGAAAATACAGAGCCCTGTGGCCATGCAAGAGAGAGCATAGTGTGTGAAAAGGAGGATGTGGTAATGGCTTGGGGGGTGCTCCCAAGTGCCAGGGATCATTTGCTTACTGGGGACCGGCAGTGGGGCCTCAATGGTCAGAGCAGTGAGACCTGACCTGCAGGCAGATGGCCCAGATGTGGGACTTACAGACCACTGAGCTGCTCAGCCCTAGTTCCAACTTTCCAACCTGTTCAAAGAATGGCATGTGGCTTGAATGCCAATGATGCTTCATGGATGGAAAACTTGAACTTGTCTTCTGCATCTTTGTAATGAGGGAATAGTCAGTACTGTGGACCATAGGCCTAGTGGGAGGATCAGTCAAAATTATGCACTGAAAAGTGCATTTAGTAAAAGTTAGCCACTCATAGTGCTGTGGATTGGAAAGATTTGGAAACTGTAGAGTTCTATGATACTTTGGTTGTTTTTGTTGTTGTTTGGTTGGTTGGTTGGTTTTTGAGACAGGGTCTTATGTAACCCAGGCTGGTCTCAACATGGCATCATAGACAAGGATGGCCTTGAATTTCTGATCTTCCTGCCTCTACCTCCTAAGTTCTGAAGCTCTAGGATTACAGGTGTGTACCACCACACCCAGTTTTATGCAGTGCTGGGGGCGGAACCCAGGAATTCCTGCATGCTGGGCAAGCTCCCTAACTAACTGAGCCACACTACCAGCCACTGAGGCTTTTTGGCTTCTGGGAACTTTACTGGGAGGAAAAGAATATTGAGAGCACTGGGCTGGTTCCAGTTTGAGCAGGGCAGCCTTGAGCCCAGGTTCCAGGCCTGCCAGGAAGAGTGGGTACCCTGGGTACAGCATTCAAGGCCCCCATGGGGGATAGAGGAAGTGTATCCTGAGGCCAGATGGGCAAGTGTGTGGCCTACTGCTTTACAGTGGTGTCTCTGGGTTCCTCACAGGTAAGCAGGTGACATGGCCAGCCTGTCCATCTGTGTGCTGGGTAGGTCAGGAGGGGTTGTTTAGGTGGCTCTAGGTGGCCTTGCCGCTCTAGGTGGCCTTGCTCTCCCTGCCCCCCAGGTGGGTCTCACTTTGCTCTGATGCTGACTGTGGGTCTCCTGCTCTGTGAAGCTGACCACTCCAGGCTGTGGGCGATGGGCCTGGGTTTCCTGAAGCCCTCCTCTGCCTTATCCCATGGGGCTTCTCACAGGATACACAAAGACTCCTGAGCTGGGTGAGGACCCAAAGTCAGGATATGGACTGTGGCACCCCAGGGTAGGCGATCACATGGGAACAGGCAGGTCTGCACCCCATTGTCTCCTACAGTTCTGAGGACTTCAGCCCCATGGGACACTGCTAGCCACACAGGGAGGGCAGCTTGGTTAGATGACTGAGGCTGAGTCCTGCTGTTGCCCAGAGCCCCTCCACTGTCTGCCCTATGTCTCAAGACCTCTCTGAGAGATGATGGCCCATCCACAGAAGCGGGAAATTGAACAAGCTGTGTTTCCATTTGTCCCTCCTCTGGGAGATGGGCCTTATGTGCCACCTCTTCAAGGATTAACCACAAGGGAAGATGGTTCAGTATCTGTACCCCCGCACACCTGTACTACACCCCACTTGTCACCATTAAGGACTCTAGCCAGCACCCAGATGCAGCCCCCACCTCCACAGGCCAGGAAAGAGATCCCAAGCCCAAATGGTAGATGAGCTGGCAGTGCCAGGCAAAGGAGGGCCAGGAAAGGTCAACAGAAGAGTGGGGAGAGAAGGAGGGGAAGCTGGAGTTCTATAGAGTGGCCCTAAAGGCCTGTCTGAGGGGTTTAGCAGAGGAGTGAGCCATTCTGATATCCAGAGGAACAACATTCTGTACAAAGGGAACAGAGGGTGCAAGGGCCCTGAGGTAAACATGTGCCCCACCCTAGGACAACATGCAACAGCAGGAATTGAGGCGAGGGCTGGGAAGCATGGGAAGCAGCACAGGACCATGGAAGCCACTGAGAGAATGCTGGCATGTTTCCTGAAAGTCGTGGGAGATCACAGGTGGCTTTTCAGTAGTACCATGGAAAGATGAAAGGTTAAGAGATTTTGTGAGCACAGGATAGACCATGGGAAGATAAGGTCAGTACTGACTGACTAGGCAGCAGGAATTACCCGGAAGGTGGTAAACAGAACATTTTGGAGCTGTGAGCATGGCCTGAGATTGTTGGGGTGGAGAAGGCAGTGTGTGTCAGTGTGAGCAGAGGTGAGACCTGGGTTCGAGTCCAGCCCCAATCTCGCACTCCCCTCTGCAGCTGAAGCAGGAGATGGGCAGTGCGGTGATGAACATTATCCGAAACTACAAGGTCAATGCCAGCAACAGCCATGAGGAAAGCCTGCAGGAGGCCTGGGACTATGTGCAGGCACAGGTAAGGAGGGCCTGTGGTTGCCTGGGGGGCGGGGTCGTGACAGGACAGAGTATCTGCAGTCTGGTGTCTGGTGGTCCATGAAGTGTGTGGGTGTTCCCTGTGGGAAAGGGCACTCTGAGCAGCACCCCACCCCGCGGGGCCACCCCTGCAGCGCCAGGCTGCCTGGCCTGGGACGGATTCACAGAGCTTCTGCTGTGGGTCCTGAAAAGGAGATTCCCTGCCCTGTGCCATGGAAGAGCCAGGGCCTGCCTCTGTGTGCAGATTGTGCAGAGACTGTGGAGCCCCTAGGGGTGCCAGCCTTTCTGGCAAAGTCAGAACTGTAACAGCTAGGGGGAAACCTGCTTTAGTCTAGCACCCCTGTGCATGCCTGGAGTGCCCCCTGCTGGCCACTGATTGCTGCAAAGCTGGGACCAGGCAACCTGAGATGGCCAGAGGCTGCTAGGTCACCCAAGCAGCCCCATAGAGTAGATCCACCAAGGGACCCCCACAGAGCAGCTGTTAGCATCCATCCTAGAAGGCTCTGGAAAAAAGCATTTTTGTCCTTTTAAACAGCAGACTCAAATGTGTCTCTTTTCACTTTGCCTACCAGGAAGCTCATCACCAGATCTCAGCCACAGGGTGCTCAGTACCTACAGGTACACCTGGCCTTGACTGGGCTGTTACCAGGCTTCCCAGACCTGTGTGGGTGCTTTGCCTACCTCACCTCACTAGGGACCTCTGTTCCTACTTTGCAGATGAGGAATCTAAGGCCAGGGCCTCAGCTCATCTTTACGTAGCAGAGCTGAGGTTTGACCTCAGCAGTCCATTTCATATCCCACGTTCAGTCCTTCCCACACCTGTGCTAGACTTTCAGTTTGAACTTGCCCTGCTCTACTTTGTATGTTAACTGGTTCTGATTTGTGTTTTCCATTGCATTTGTGGTTATTGTGTTTCTCAAAGTCTACTTGAGGTCCTTCGTGAGGCACAGAACCAAAGTTCACCCCGCACTCTACAACTCTCCGCAACCCCAGGCCTGGAAGTAGCCGATCTGAGCCTGTGCCTGGAGGTGGCCTTGGGGTGGTGTGGGCGGTTGGTCAAGCAGCTTGTCTGGCTCTGCACAGGTGAAGTGCTGTGGCTGGGCTAGCTTTTACAACTGGACAGAAAACGCTGAGCTCATGAACTACACCGAGAGCACCTATCCCTGCTCCTGCAACACCACAGGGGAAGAGAACAGCCAGCTCATTGTAAAGAAGGGCTTCTGTAAGGCGAACACCAATAGCACCTACGGTGAAAATGTCCCAGAAGATTGGCACGTGTACAGGGAGGTGTGTTGCCCCTTAGGGTCCCCAAGCCCAAACCCCAGGCTTGTTGGGGCTGTCACTCAAGCCTCCTTCCCTCTGCTAGCCCCCCTCCTTCCAGTCCTTTGCTCACTCATCATCTGTGTCATCATCTATGGGTGCATGAGGGCCTCTGTTCAGGGAACAGGGGCCCTGTGGAGGCCCTCTACAGCTGTGTGGCAGCTCACTTGTGGTCCTCCCACAGGGGTGCATGGAGAAGGTGCAGGCTTGGCTGCAAGACAACTTCAGCATCCTCCTGGGCGTGTGTGTCGGTGTCGCTGCCATTGAGGTCTGTTCCCTACAGCCCCCGCCACCCCCCACCCCCGTCTTTGCTCCATTGATGTCTTATGGAGCAAGTGGCCCATGGGCTTCAGGAGGGGCTCTGACCTCAGCCCATCTGGCTGTGTGGCCTCAGATAGGGTGCTGTCCCTCTCTGGGCCCCTCTCTGCTGCCTGCCTTCCTCGGGGTGGTTGTAACTGGAGCCCCCCACCCCATGTGTGTTGTGTTGGGTGATGGGCAGGGCTTTGGGGCCTGGGCCAGCCACCCTGACTCTGATCCTTCCCTCACAGCTGCTGGGGTTGCTCCTGTCCATCTGCTTGTGCCGGCACATTCACTCAGAAGACTACAGCAAGGTCCCCAAGTACTGAGAGTACCCACGGCCCCGAGTCTCCCCATCCTCAGTCTCCAGGGGCCTCCCTGGCCCACCTCACTACCAAGGCCCCTCACGCATCCTGGGCAGGCAATGTGGAGGACTTTCTGGGGTCTGGACTGCTCTCCCTGCCTCTGCTGCCAGTGTGGGGTCCTGGCTCCTCTGTAGCTCTTCCATTTGCTGCCTGGGGTCTCTTAGCAACTTGGAATGGCTCCCAGTATCACCTCATAGGTGGGCTGGGTCCCTCCCCACTCTGGAGGCCAGGCCACTCGTATTGCTTTTAAAAACCAGGGAGGGTGGGTACAGCACCTGTGGCCATCAGGGGACGACGGCCCATGGGATGGGTCAGTGTTTTTCACTATGACACTTTCATCTTGGGATTTTTTAAGTTTCTGTGGGAGAGGGAGAGGGTTGGCAGCCCTTCCCCAGGCCTGATACAGTGCCCTCAGGTGGCTTGGCTCAGCTGGGGCCATGCCTTAGATAGGCCTCAGTGAACTCTTCCCAGGTGAAGGCTCTGGATTGCTTAGGGACATGGGTCCCTCAGGTCTGACACAGGATCCCAACTGTCCTGGGACTAGGGGAAGAGGAGCTGGACTAGTGTTTCTTGGCAGCTGGTAGCTGTCCCCTGTGCCCTGGGCTAAGGGTGGGTGAGGCTGTGCCTTACAGGGTAGGGGAGGGTCTCTGTGTGCTCAGCTCTGAAACTATTAAAGAGGGTTTGTTAATAATCTAGCCTGAGAAAGTGGGGTGCTGCATCATGGGGTGGGGAGGACATTGCAGTGGCTGGAAGGGGACATGGATGTGGCTTCTGCCTACCCCACTTGGTTCGTGAGCTGACCAGGTGGGCTGCAGGATTCCTGTGTGCTGTAGTTAGGTTTTCTATTGCTATGAGAAACATCATGACCAAAAGCAACTTGGGGAGGAAAGGGTTTGTTGCATCCTACACTTCCAAAGAAGTGCATCACTGCACTGAGGGAAGTCAGAGCAGGAACCTGGAGGCACACACTGAAGCTGAAGCGGAGACTGAAGGAACACTGCTTGCTGGGTGGCTTCCCTGGCTTGCTCAGCTACTTTCTTATACAGCCCATGTCACCTGCCTAGGGATGGCACTGCCCACAGTGGACTGGGCCCTCCTACATCAACCAGCAATCAAGAAAATGCCCCATAGATATGACCACAGGCCAATCTGAAGGAAGTAGTTCCTCAATTGAAGTTCCCTCTTCCCAAATGACTACAATTTGTGTCGTTATCAAAAACAAACCAGCACAATTGACCCTTTATCAGTTTGACACACAACCACATCACTATTAAACCATAACATTTCTTGTTTAGCTACAAGATCTTATGTTACTATCATACTATAAAATACAGCACAACCTTAAAAGTCCCACAATCTTCAAAAATGCCAACAATTTATTATTTTTTATTATTTTGTTGTTTTATTTTGTTAATACAGGGTCTTCTGGTAGCCCCAGCTGGCCTGGACTTTCTATGTAGACCATGGTGGCTTTGATTTCACAGAAATCTACCTGCCTCTGCCTCTTGAGTGATGGGATTAAAGGCGTGTTCCACCAAGCCTGACAAAAACTACAACAATTTAAAAGTCCCATGTTCTTTTTTAAAAATCCAAACACTCTTAACTGTGGGCTCCTGTAAAATCCAAAATAAATGACATACTTTCTTATTTAAAGAAACAGGACATACTTAAATAAAGTCAAAGTTCAGCAGCAGAGCTCAGGGATTCACTTATGATTTTTCTGGGCCCCAAAAGGCTTAGGCAGCTCCATTTCTCTGTCTGCCATTCACAGCACACACACTTGTCTTGTAGGCTCAGGCTGGCTCCATGCCATACCTGCCACTGTCCTTGGTAGTTATACTGTGGCCCTGGCATCTCCAATATGTTGAGGTCTCCATTGCAATTGAGACTGCATCTTCACCAGTGGCCTCTCCTGGCCTCTCACAGTACTGAGCCTCAGCTGCTCTCTGTGACCACCTCATGGCTTTAAAACCAGTACCACGTGGGAAACTCTTACTCATTACCCAGTTCCACTTCCACCTTGAGATGCAGCCATGGCCCCCTCCGGACCACAAACTCTTGTGTGCTGACTCTGAAGAAATACTCTCCAGAGGATTATAGTTCAGTGATGCTGCTCACCTGTTAATCACAGCTGGAGTCTTCAGCGACAGCCAACCAGAAACCACAGTTCTCCATTCAAAATATATGAATAGCCCTCTGAGTCTTTGGTCCCTCTGAAACTTCACAAGCCAAGCCTCCACTGCCTGCATTTCTGTCGCATTCTTTCTTCTAAGCTCCCACAGAACAGCCCCTTAAGTTCTAAGCACTCTGATTTTTCTAGCCCAAAGTTCCAAACACTTTCACAATGTTCCCATGTGCATGTCAAGTCCTTCACAGCAACACCTCTCATTCCTGGTACCAATTTCTGTTTAGTTACTTTTCTGTTGCTGTGATAGAACACTCTGACTAAAACCAACTTAGGAAAGGAAGAGGTTATTTCATCTTCCATTTTCATGTGACAGTACATCATTGAGGGAAATCAGGGTAGGAACTCAAATCAGAAACCTGGAGGCAGACACTGAGGCAGAGACCGTGGAGGAATGCTGTTTACTGGCTTGCTTCCCTAGCTCAGCTACTTACAGAACCCAGTCCCACCTGCCCAGGGAAGGCACTACTCACAGTGACCTGGGCCCTCCTACATTAACCCACAAGAAAATTCACCACAGACATGGCCACAGGCCAGTCTAATAGAGGAGATCCTTCAGTCAAGGCTTCCTTTTCCCAGGTGTCTCTAGCTAGTGTCAAGTTGACAAAAATCAACATACTGTGTTAAAACAGATGCCAAAAGGAGTCCTGTTCCCCCATCAGAGTGTATGACAGGAAACTGGAGATGGACTGCAGTGGGTGGGGAAGCCACAGGAAGTGGTCTCTTTCTAGAACATTGGGTTCATTAAGACCCACAGAAGGAATGTTTTCATACTAAACAAGGCAAACAGGGTTGCAGAATTCAGGGCCTTTTGAGATGAACTGCCCCTCATCTGAGTCTCAACACACCCAGTCTGGGGTCCTGAAGTCTGGGCAGGTTCAGAAGCACCTGCACGATGGGGATGGACGGCAGGAAGGGCAGACAAGAGGCTGCTTCTCATCTCACCCATGGCGCCCTGAAGAAGTAGGGGAGGAGAGGGAAGAGGGGAAGGAGAAGGAAGAGGAGGAGGAAGAGGAAGAGGAGGGGGACACTAGGGGAGGGACTCGTCCATCTGTGCCATCCTCCCAGTGCACTGGAGGGAGTTGTTTCAGCAAGGCCCACCAGAGGGCGCTGCTACCTCAGCCTAGAAGTGTACAGAACTGAAAGTTCCTGTGACTGCAGTTACCTGGTCCGCCTCAAGTGGGGGGTGGGGGATGTCTCTCAGCCAGTGGGGACATGTGACAACACAGATTCCAGGGCTGACGGACACTGCAGTAGAGCTGGAGGGGACAAGGAATCTGCATTCTTGTACCTCACAAAGTGACTCGAGTTGCATTGCTTTAGATACAGGTTCTGTCTGATGAGAGAGCCACAGTGTAGCCCAAAGACGAATGTGTGGGGGCGGGGAGCAGACCAGAAACCCTGGTCGTGGGCCAGAGGAGGGTCAAGAGACTTTCTGTGGCCAGAGTCCATTTGGGTAAACCCACCATCATCCCTGGCATGTCATCCTGCACTGGACTAGGGCTCTAGGAAGCCTGGGTTCCATGGGGACTGCCCTCTGCCCCCTCCAGGACTCACCCTGCATCTGCTCACAGTGTTCCAGGGAAGGGGGCTCTAAATTAAACTGGACCACCTTTTTACATTGAAAACCTGCTTCGTTCCACAAAGGAAGTACCATATTAAAATATAAAACATGAATAGTATATCAATGAGAAAGCATGGGCTGGGAAAAAATAAACCACAAAGTGACCCTTAAGGTAGCAGATGCGAGCTATGTACCTAGAACACTCTCCGTGGCCACACTCCCAGCAGACATCACTAATCGATCACAGAGCTCATTTTCCTAGCCTAGGTGCACTCTGGTCATGCTTAATGGTCTACATCACTCATTGTGGCCTTAGACTCCTTGCTCAGCACTATCAATCATTCTGCTAGAATACAGAGTGAAAACAGTTGACATCTTGAGTTTTCAGGGTTATGTCAAACCATGTTATCACTCTACCTCTGAGCTTCCTGGTAGAAATCAAAAAAGGGAAGCTTTGTCAATTATGAAAAAATCTCTCCCCCTGTCCCTAGTATTAGATCTAGGAAAAGTACGACTGGCTGGACTCTAGAATTTAAGGCTCCATGTCCACACCCAAATATCAATAGATATGTTGGAAACATATGAAATCTTGACTGGCTGGACTCTAGAATATAAGGCCAGCCATGTTTACCCCCAAACATCAATAGACAGTTTGGAAACTTGTGACATCTTTGGGCTAAGAAGCATAAAGGAGCCTCTGTGTGCCTGACTGTGTGCTACCCTAATGGGTAATAAGCACACTAAGCAGAAAGCTTATTGTGCAATAATCACAGAAAAAATACTATTTGCCAAGGAAGCCCCGGGAAGGCCAGTAGCTGAAGCAATGAGATCACGATTTCACACAGCAGTTGGTACTTAACAAAGCATGGGCCCTTTGTAGGTTATTGGTGTGTTCCCTACTTGCAGATACTAAAGAGCTCTGCTTGAATAAGCTTAGCATGCTGTTCTAGCAGAAGGGACAATGCCCCTGTTTAAGGCGCTGTGTCCGAGTTGAGGGGTTGGTGCCCTAGTCGGTTTGCTGCTTGATGGAGTTGTGCTCAGGACTCCTAGCCACAGGCAAAAGGAGTGCTCATGAAGAGGCAACTGGGACCTGTCCCCAACCCACTGTCTACTCTGTACCTCTGAGGGGCAGAGAGCTGGCTGGGCAGGATGGTGTTTCCACCTACCTAAGTCATGGGCCAGTTCAGTCCTGGGCTCAAGGCAGGGACATGCATCACATATGCAGAAGTGGGGGTCAGGCTGGTCTCAGACCTGTGTGGGACCTAGAGAGGGTCTGACCAACTCAGAGGCTGTGTCACTAGCTCTCAGAGAACACGGAGGCAGTCCATCCCTGGGGCTGCTGTTTCTGTGACTGATTGGGTGGGGAAGACTGAGTTCAGGGGAGGCCACAGCATTCTGGGCAGGGTTCTTTAAGCCTCTCTTTTGCAGGGCTGTGTGGGGCCCTGTCTGGGACAGAATACCTGGCACCTGGCAGCCCCAACCAGAGCATGCATCCATTTCCCCTGGATTGTTCATCTAGAAGTACCACAGAATAAGTGGACTGTCTTGTCTGTGGGAGATGGGATACAGGAAGGCAGGTCCTATGGGAGTGACAGGAGGGTAACTGCCAGGTACAAGGAACTTTCCTGTCTTATAGTGCTGCCTGGGGGAGGAGGGAGTTCTAGATGAGGTCTTTGCCAGGGTCCCTCAGTCCCCTGGGGTTGGAGATAGGACCCAAGGTGGGCCCCTTGCTCTCCACTGCAGCCTTTCCTTCTTCAGCCCTCTTTGGCCTGTATATAGGAAGAGCTGAGGATCGGGTTGTGGGGTGTCCAGGGGCTGAGACTTACATGAGGGTGGTATTAGTGGTCAGCTGGCAGGGGACTGAGACCTGAGTGGGATTATGGTCTGGATGTGTCGGGCCAGTTTCCTGGAGCTGGCTCCAGGATGACTCTGGGAGTCCAAAGGGTAAGGACTAAAGCACTG